TCTATGAAGAGAGTACAGTAACCTTCCAGATTAATGCCTTTCCCCGCCTTGCAAGAAAGATTATGAAGGTAAGGAGAGTAAAAATTGCTCACAGGAAACAAGTCAACCCTACTTTGAACATTTCTTAAATTTCCCACATCTGGTCAACTGCAGCTGACATCCAACCAATATGGTATTTTTTTTCTAGAATATAAGTTATGGCACCTCTGTCCATAGTTCTTCAGGCACTCTGTTAAATGCTGTGAAAGTGCTGCACTCAATAGGCTGGCAAATTTGGAAACCTTAGCAGTGGCCACAGGACTAGAAAAGGTCAGTTTTCATTCCAATCCCAAAGAAAGGCAGTGCCAAAGAATGTTCAAACTACCACACAGTTGCACTCATCTCACATGCTGGCAAAGTAATGCTCAAAATTCTCCAAGCCAGGCTTCAATAGTACATGAACTGTGAAATTCCAGATGTTCAAGCTGGATTTAGAAAAGGCAGAGGAACCAGAGATCAAATTGTCAACATCTGCTGGATCATTGAAAAAGCAAGAGAATTCCAGAAAAACATCTACTTCTGCTATATTGATTATGCTAAAGCCTTTGACTGTGTAGATAAAAACAAAATGGAAAATTCTTCAGGAGATGGGAATACCAGACCACCTGACCTGTCTCCTGAGAAATCTGTATGCAGGTGAAGAAGCAACAGTTAGAACTGGACATGAAACAACAGACTGCTTCCAAGTCGGGAAAGGCTGTATATTGTCACCCTGCTTATTTAACTTATATGTAGAGTACGTCATGTGAAATGCTGGGCTGAATGAAGCACAAGCTGGAATCAAGATTGCTGGGACAGATATCAATAACCTCAGATATGCAGATGACACCACCCTTATGGCAGAAAGTGAAGAGGAACTAAAGAGCCTCTTGGTGAAAGTGAAAGAGGAGAGTGAAAAAGCTGGCTTAAAACTCAACATTCACAAAACGAAGATCATGACATCTGGTCCCATCACTTCATGACATATAAATGGGGAAACAATGGAAGCCGTGACAGACTTTATTTTCTTGGGCTCCAAAATCACTGCAGATGGTGACCGCAGCCATGAATTTAAAAGACACTTGCTCCTTGGAAGAAAAGCTATGACCAATCTAGACAGCATATTAAAAGGCAGAAACATTACTTTGCCAACAAAGTCCATCTAGTCAAAGCTATGGTTTTTCCAGTAGTCCAGTGTGGATGTGAGAGTTGAACCATAAAGAAAGCTTAGTGCCAAATAATTGATGCTTTTGAACTGTGGTGTTGGAGAAGACTCTTGAGAGTCCCTTGGACTGCAAGTAACACAAACTAGTCCGTCCTAAAGGAAATCAGTCCTGAATATTCATTGGAGGGACTGATGCTGAAGCTGAAACTCCAATACTTTGGCCACCTGATGCGAAGAACTGGCTCCTTGGAAAAGACCCTGATGCTGGGAAAGATTGAAGGCAGGAGGAGAAGGGGACAACAGAGGATGAGATGGCTGGATGGCACCACCAACTCGATGGACATGACTTTGAGAAGCTCCGGAAGTTGGTGATGGACACGGAGGCCTGGCGTACTGCCGTCCATGGGGTCTCAAAGAGTCGGACACGACTGAGCGACTGAACTAAACTGATAAATTATGGCAGTAAACGGTCTAACATAAAGATCCATTAACACCTGCTGATATTTATGCTCTTAATGATATATTCAGATTTTACTGGTTCTTTATTTTCAGGCTTTTACTTGAGTCCTTTTTTAAATATTTATTTTAATTGGAAGCTAATTACTTTTAAATATGAGTTTTGTTATGCCGTTTGCCCACATGCCACAACTAAAGATCCCGAGTGCTGCAACTAAGACCCAGTGCAGCCAAATAAGTATTTATAAATAAAGATGTAGAAACAAACAAGAACAACAAAAACTTTCTTCGTTCACGGGCCATACAAAAACAGGCACAAGAGGGAACTTTGCTGGAGGAAAGTGGAATGATTCACATATCCCCAGAGAATTAAATAAGGCCACATTATGTTGGAGGGATTTTAGGTAAGACATCCACAATTGTAGGTTATAGTAAAGGATGGCAGAGAACAGAATGAACCACTCAATGGGAGTGGCTGTGGAGAACATCTTGGAGAAAACACTCTCTCCCTGCCATGAAACCCACCATAATTGAAGATGAGGAAATGAGGAGGGGTAGCAAGTAACATAGGCATGGATCTTTAGGGGTACTGAGGAAGTAACCCTTTTTTTTCCCCAACCACAGCATCTTGTCCTCCCCCCACTGCACTCCCAGAGGTGTCAGGAATGGGGCTTTGTGAGGTGCAAGGCTACTATTGGCTAGGGGAGCCCTGGGATACACTGTGAGGGGCTTAACTATGGCTGATGAGATCTGTATACCAAAAAAGGTTAACATAAATGGAGAAAACACAAACACGGAACAGCTAGTTCCAAGAATCAAAAAGAATAGGGAACAATGGACTTCTTGTCAGTTGAAGACCAGAGACAGAACCAAGGTCAGATGACCCTACCCATGTTCCTCTCCTCCCCACAGATCTCCCCAAGACTCCTATCCTACCCTTGCCAGGCACAAATGCCTGCCTCAAGTCCCGTCTCTACCCATGAGGCCCCCTTTCCTATAACATTCCCACCCTCCTCTCCCAAACCAAGGTCCTGCTAACTCGGCCTGATGCCTTTTCAGGTGCGGGAAAACATAAGAGTAGAAAGGACCCCTCAAAAGAAGTCAAGAAAAAAATCTCATCCATTCCCCTCTTATCCAAGAATATCTAACAGAAGCATAAGGCCTACTATATTCATCTGTTACCACAAACTGAAAAATAAATCATACAAGCACGTGCTGAGCAGGAATAAGAAGCAGTGGAAAATCCGACCATTCAAAGTAACTTCCTGCGCAGACAATAAATGCAGAGCCTGGACCAGAGCACTAGAACAAGCTGTGTCTTTGGAAGCGGCAATGAAGAAATGGTCAAAGACAAAGAGACACATCTGAGACCATCATGGTATATGGACGTTGAATACAATAAAATCAGCTAACTGGAAAAAGATGTGTGTATTTGTGGTGGGAGGGAAGAAAGGAAGGGAAGAGGCAGGTGTGTGAGGAGGGTGGGAGGTGACGTCCTGGAGGGCTGGGGGCCAGACTGGGAGGATAGCCAGACACTGGAGGATGAGGACTGGCTGAGGACTAAGAACTGGAGATCAGCTTCCTCAGCACTTTGTCCAAAGGACAAAAAGAGAAAGGTCTTTGGTGGTTCCATGTGTGTGGGCTGGAGAGGGAGAGCAATGTCAGAGTCGAGTTACTGTAAATCCAGCCTGTCAAGGACATGTTTGATCTGTGTGGGAAAAGTCAGGTACTGTGGTCTATGAAGGATAGGTATCCTGTTTTTAAATGAATTCCCTTGCTGCCTGCAGGCCTGGTTCTATTTCTTCTAAAGTCTAGGCTAATGTTAGAACTGTTGTTTTTTCAAAGAGCTAGACCATGCCAATGGAGTTAATTGTTTAGTCTCTCAGTAGTGTCTGACTCTTTGCAACCCCATGAACTGTAGCCCACCAGGCTTCTCTGTCCATGGGATTCTCCAGGCAAGAAGACTGGAGTGAGTTGCCATTTCCATCTCCAGGGGATCTTCCTGACCCAGGGATTGAACCTGCATTTCCTCCACTGGTAGGTGGATTCTTTACTACTGAACCATCAGGGAAGCCCACTGAGGTTAATAGAAGCTCCTAAATTCCACTAGTGGAGGGCACCACCACAATGCTGAGAACAACAGTCTGCCTTAATTTGTTGAGCTTTAGAATCCTGATTTAGTACCTCTAGTTCCATCTCTCTGCTAGCAGCCCATGAAAGAAGCTTTGCCCCAAAGATGGAAAAGTGGTCAAAATGGCCACACTCCAGTGTTCAGGCCCAGGTGAAAAGCTGTAGGTGACAAGGTAAGAATGGTGGGTAGAACCCAAGAAACTACAGAGGCTGCAGTGTGAAAGTGGCCCCCTATGCGGTTGAGTGTGGAGGCCCCAGGCCAGCTCCCCAGTCTCCTAGCGAGGGGTGAGCCCTTTGTCATGGCACCTCAGTGACAGCATCATAGCTGGAGAAGTTTAGGGACCATGGAGCCTGCCTCCTGAATTCAGAGACTTCTACGGGCAAAGGAGACCTCAGAAACCATTTCCTCCAATCCCCTCATTTTACAAAAGCAGACACGGGTCAGAAAAGCGAAGGGCTTTGACAGAGGTCAGAAAGCAAGTTGGCAGTGAAGCCTACAACTCAGGGTCCTGGCTGGGCCCCTGGCATGACCTCCCCTCCAGGTAAGTGATCCTAACCAGCTATTTTCTTATTGAATGATCATTTGTTTACAATATTGTGCTAATCTCTGCTGTATAACAAAGTGACTCAGTTACACACATACTTTTTTAATATTTTTTTCCATTAAGGTTTATCCCAGAAGATTGGATATAGTTCCCTGTGCTGTACAGTAGGACCTTGTTTATCCATCTACTAACCCCAAAATCCCAATCCATCCCTCCCACACACCCCCTCTCTTTGGCAACCACAAGCCTGTTCTCTGTGTCCATGAGTCTGTTTTGTGGATAGGTTTATTTGTGCCATATTTAAGATTCCCTATACAAGTGATAGCATATGGTATTTGTCTTTCTGATTTACTTAGTATGACAGTCTAGTTGTGTCCATGTTGCTGAAAATGGCATTATTTTGTTCTTTTTTATGGCTGAGTACTATTCCATTGTGTATATACACCATATCTTCTTTATCTACTCATCTGTTAATGGACCTCTAGGCTGTTTCCTTGTCAGGCATGAACTGGCTGGCAGCTCCAGGCTTGGCCCGTGCTGCCCGGCAACAGCCCTATAGTTCAGGGCTGGGTTCAGCTGGGCGGAGGCAGGACCATGGCTATGCCTCTGCTTTTCCATATTGCACCATAGCTCGTAAGTAGGAATACACAGCAGCACACTTTTAAAAAACACAATAAGCAAAAAGTGCAATTCTGCATCCCTTTATTTATAAACAAGTTGAGAATGCCATGTCCTGTTGGGAAGCAGGAGTGGGTTTGGAGCGCGGAGAGGGAGGTGCAGGGGTGGGAGGGGGTGGGGGCTGATTCCAGAAGTTCGCATGATTCAGCACCAGAGCAAACGCTTGGGCGTAAGGTCGTGCTTTAACCCAGACGAGTCGTCGTCTTGTCTTTTATGTACAGCATAGTCTGAAGTATGTATGCTCTTCTTATGGCTTTGTCCCGGGACACATCGCAGTGACACAACAAAAAAACTCAAGTCTAGAGAGAAGTAGAAGTTGCAGAATGCCTCATGAGCTCTTTTGTTAAAAGAAGAAAAATCTGATGGCCAAGACTAGTGCTGACCGGATGCCTGGGGAACAGGGACATCTCTGTTCCCTTCGGGCTCATTGGATTCAGCTGAGTCTATATTGCCATCTTGCGTCTCTCTCCCCGGGGCGTGCCTGGCTGATAAGTCCCAAGATGGAGAGGAGGAATCCACGCTCTTCCCGTCCCTCCCGCCAAGGATGGCCTCTCAGTAACTCCAACCTCAGGCCGTCCTGCAGCTGTGTGTCTTCCCCGCAGAGCAGGTCAGAAGGCGGACTTGGGTCTCGGGATCACTCCTCTTAAGGTTGGTTTCCTTCGCCTTTGCCAAGTCCTGGCCCATGGGAGCTGGCTTGCCAGAAACGGGCCATTCAGTGTGACTCTGACATTACAACTGCCCTGGGTTTTTAGCTGGTGAACATTGGATTTTGGGGTCCCCAGGAGGAAGATGTGACAGCTGATGGAGAAGGGCTGAAATGGGAAAGCTGGGCAGGGGGAACCCACAACCTGCATGGGTACCCACTAACCTTGGCTGTCAGTGAAAGGAAGCCTGCCTTCTTCACCTGTTAGGGAGTGAGCGACCCCTGTAAGGGAGCGGACAGGCACTGCGCTCCCACGCTTGCCCTTCTTCACCTATCCTGCCTTCTTCCACAACCTAAATTGCTGTCCTTCAGCCCTCAGTCTGAAGCTTCCTTCCCTATCTAGGGAAAAAGAACATTTCCTTGCTTTCTGGCATTTCTGCTTACCTGTTGAGCTTGAGTCACACTTGGTACTGCTCCCATGCCAGCCTTGACTCCCTTGGGGCCATGACTGTGGCCTGCCAGCCACCGCATCTCCTCCCAGGCAGGGGAGGAGGGGCAGGGAGAAGCTGGTGGCCAGGATGCAACAAAGATTGGGTTGCAGACTCCCCCATCCCTTCTCATTAATCTTGCAGCCGTGGGAGGGGAGGTATTGTTAATGCTCAGAAGTGGGCCTGGGGTGAGACTTGGAGCCCGCTTGTGGGTTTGATGGCCTGTCCCTGGCGCTGAATGAGTCATGGCGGTGGCACGCGTCAGTGTGGTGTGTAAGGCCTGCAAAGTCAGAGGCCGCCTGGTACGTGAATGCCAAGCTGTTTGCTCCGGAGCACGAATCAGGTAAACATGGGTTTATCTGCTCTGGGCCGGAGCCTAGAACCAGAAAAGGCATTCCCAAGAGTTTCTCCTACAGAGGGAGGCCCTCACATGAGTCAAGCATGCAGATTTTCTTGAAGCTTCTCTCCTTCCTCCAGGCACCTTGTTCTCCTTTTCTCTTCCCTTGTTCCCACTGCCTTGTGCAGCTGGCCGCTGCCTCCTGTCAGTGCTTGGGAGACGGGGGCATACGCGGCCAGTGTGCCCAGGGAACACAGTGGGAGAGAGATCACACGGCACAGTGGAAGCACGGGGCCATCCTCTGGGCCTTGATGGCAGCAAGAAATTTTCTTCTCACGTGCCATCTTCCCACCAGCTCTCTGTCCCACATGAATGCTCGACAAGAGTTCTGGAAAAACTGCCAGGAACAAGGGAGTGCCCAAGCCAGCTGAGCTCGTGGCTCTGCTTCCCAACAAACCCTACCATCTCCAGGTGGGCAGGGAGGTAGTTCAACCCCAGTGCAAGGGGAAAGACACGCCACCTTCCTTCCTTGGTTGCCCCATGTGTCTCCCAGAGGGCTAATCCCCAAGGCCTCTGAAAGGGAGTGTTCCTGTCCTGAGGGATGCTGGGCGCTGCCCGTGTCACTGTTCTGGGCCCCTGGCTCCAATGGCACAGCCAGACGATGCCGCTTCTACCCAGGCGTCTGCTCCCACCCCTCGCCTCTACCTGCTCGCGTCTACCTGTGCTTAGCAGATAGCAACATCAGACACCTCGGTGGGAAGGCTTAGCGTCTTCAACCCACTTGAAGCCTAAGGCTGGGAGTAATTACAGGACTGCCTGGCCTGTTCAGAGGCTGAGGCTCTCACTGTGCTCAGTGAAACTCTCAGAGCCTTCCTCCACCTGCAACGATGATGGGAGGCCATGAGCACCACCCGCCGATTTCTTGGCTGGGACAAGACATTTCTGCAGGAATGCAGGATGAGCTTTTGACCAGGTGCCCAAGTTCCAAGGGAACCAGGTAGTTCTGAAGACTGAGGATTTCAGTGGGGTATTAGGGTGGGAGCTGGAGAGGGGGACAGTATAAAATGCTGCCACCACTGACTTGTTGCATATGGTACACACCCTGGATGGCATCTTGGAAGCATACATAGAACAGAGATATGTGCAGGTAGCACCCCCTATTGGTATACTTTGTGGCTTGGGACATCAAACTGCTGCTTGAGGTCTGCAGAACTATTCACTGGTCAGAAATGGGGAAAGCCATTCCATGACAGCATCCTTGAAGGAGAAGCTTCAGGAAACAGCAACCATCTGCTAAACTCAGAGCCAAAGCAGAGCAGCTCCTTGTGTGTATATGTCTATAGGATGTTCTCTTGCATTTCCCACAGTCTAAGGTAATTTATAGAGAACAAGGAAGTCAAACCAATGATGAAAGAGTACAGCCAGGAGAAGACACTAGGCCTTAGGGGGCATTCTCCTGGAAAGAACTGTCCTTGGCATGAGAAGTTGAGGTTCACACTAGGTGACCTGGGATATATCTGGCCTAAAGCAAGGCTTGGTCTAGACGCCACGTTCCTAGAACTGCAAAGGACTGATGCGTTGCAACCTCTGGTCTCAGTGGCTAAACTGAGAAGGCTGGCGTTTGTCTGTAGCTCGACTATTTCAGAAGCACTGTGCCACCTCTACTGGAAATAACTTTATTCTGGCAGCGCTTGGGCGGTAGGAGGCAACGTGCACGGCCCTTAGGAGCTGAAAGGAGCAGACTTCGGGTACAGCTGCTTCCATGGGTGATATACCTGGTGGGGGTGGAAGTAAGGACCAAAGCAGAAGACACCCCACTCAGTGCGAGTCTCCCAGGGGTGCTCTGCCTCTTTCCTTAGCAAGGTTAAAGAAGGGTGGTTCTAGATGATGCTAAGAAGGTCTGTATAGGTTGCCCGCCTGGAAACCTCCATGCAGAGCCTGGGTTTGGGGCAAAGTGGAGACTGAGGGGGAGCTGGTCCCGAGGGGAGCTATGTCATGGGCTGAGCTGCAGCGCCAGCGACTGTTGCCCTCCCCCCTGCCCCAGGGCATCCCCCATGCCCCCGCCCTGCACCCCCCCTGCCCCATGTGGTGGGGGCTCTCGTGTGGCGGGGGCTCTGGTTGTCAGCCAGCAGACTTTACTTCTCATCCTCATCCCCCTCACTCATGCTGCTCATGGAGGCTGAGGCGGCTTTAGGTGAGGAGGGGGGTGAGGGTTTGTGCGGGAGCCACGAGAAGGTGGGCGACGGGGAGCGGGAAGGGGACCGGCTCCTGGTGGGGCTGCTCACAGGGCTCTGCTTCGGGGACAAGGCGTGCAGCATCCGGCTGCTCCTCTCCTGGAACATCTGCTTCTAGAGAAGGGAGAGAAGGCATGTGTTAAAGGAGCCATGTGCAGAGCAGGGAAACAAACCAGGCAGGAAGGATGGGAGCACACACAAACACAGGCTAGTACCACAGCCTGTGTCCCCAGACTGTCTCGGGGCTGGGGCAGGGGTGGGCGGTGCTGAGTGAGATTGCGGGGCAGGAAGATGCTGCCACATCCGATTATTATCATGGCTGGTTCTTGGAAGTCACCCCTTCTCACCACCTGTTCCCCTTCTCCCAATCTGACTGCTGTCTGTGATGTGCCGGGTAGAAGGGCTGTGGGAAATACAGCAAAAACCCCTCTTCTCATGGGAAGGAGGGAAGAATCACACAGGAAACAAAAAATGAGTATGTCAGATGAAACTATGATCTAGGAGAAAAAGCAAAAGAGGTTAGCAGATTGGGGAGACGGATGGGCAGCAACTGTGAGTTGAGCAGAGGCCTGAAAGAGGTGATGGGGAGGGGACCAGGGGGATGGAAATCAGAAGCACGTTCCAGACAGAACCCCGAGAAGGGAGCACATGATACATGTCCCGGGACAAGCCAGGAGGGTGAGTAGGGGCACGTGCGGGTGTGGCCCGGTGTAAACTTGGCCTTTGAGGAGTAGAGAAGGCTCTGGAGAGTTCCTTTAGCTCTGGAGTTCTGAGCAAAAGAAAAACATGGACTTACGGTTGAAAGGGGACCCCTATGGCTGCTGTGCTGGGAACAAATGACAGTGAAGAGAAGGCAACAGCAGGGGACAGTGACGAGCCTTCAATAAGAACCCAAGAGGATGATGGCACCCTGGACTAGGATGACAGCCATGAGCATGGTGAGAAATGGCTAGAATTATGGTATGATTTTTTTCCCTCTTGTTTTATTAAGGTTTACTTAATAATTTCTTTTTTTAAATTTTTTATTATTTATTTATTTTTTTAAGGTTTACTTAATAATTTCCAGTGAAGCTTCTTAATGCACAGTTCTGAGAGTTTTGATAAATGCCTTCAGTTTTGTGACTACCACTACCATCGAGTTACTGAGATCATTTGTAGTCACCCCCCACACCCCAGGCTTGGGCCACAGAAGTGTTTTCTGTCCCTAGAGTTTTGCCTTTTGCAGAATGTCATCTAAATGGAATCATGGGTGGTGGTGGTTTAGTCGCTCGCTTGTGTCTGATTCTTTGCAACCCCATGGACTGCAGCCTGCCAGACTCCTCTGTCCATGGGATTTCCCAGCAAGAGTACTGAAGTGGGTTGCCATTCCCTTCTCCAGGGGATCTCCCCGACCCAGGGATCAAACCCTGTCTTCTGCATTTCAGGCAGATTCTTGACTGACTGAGCCACCAGAGAAGCCGGGTATATGGTCTGGCTCCATTTTGAAACTGGAGCCAACAGGACTTGTGACAGATGGGATGTGGGGTGTGGGAGGAAGCAGAATCACATGTCTAGTTTCTGGCCCATGAAACAAGACAGCTGATACCACTGGCTGGTGTAGGAGACCATGGGGCTGGAGGAGGTCAGGGTGATGAGATGGCTTTCCCAGTTTGGGACCGCCGGTGACTGTTGCCTAATGCTTTCAGAGCCAAGCTCTTCTGCAACACTGTCCTCTAGCCTCTGGGGAACCGAGTCCTGGCACTGAGCCCCTGCCCATCTGCCCTCCTGCCTCATCCCTCGAGTACTCTGTTCCCCATGCCCGAGCGTCCTCCCCAGGCTGCCTGGCTCTGTGCTCTAGTTTGTCATCACTGCTCCGTGTAGAGCCTCAGCCCCCAGCTGCTTGCTCTAATCCTCTGCTCTAAACTGGCCCTGAGAGCCAATTCTCCTGTTAGCCCTCTTAGACTTTGCTTATCATTTGAGTTTTTCATTTTACAAACTACTACTGAGACCTTGGGGACAGGTGCTGTTACAAGAAGGGGAAAAAAAGGGTAATTTGATGGTCATATCCAAACTGGGGCTTCAGTGCCATGGGGAAGAAGGGGTGGGAAGGGGCGTTGAGTCCCTGGGACTGGCTTTCCAAGCAGAGGGTGCTAAGTAGGCAGTGCTAAGCATAACTGCTTGGCTCGACTGGACCTCCCAGTGCCTATAGGGTAACAGTAGTTGAAGCTAGAGCACCAGGATTTCTCCAGAAGAGCCCCTGGAAGATTGTAATCAATAGAGGGGTATGGTAAGATTCATGATGTAGAAATACCTTTGGGTGTGGGAGCATAAAAGCAAAGAAAGAAACCATTAAAAAAAAAAGATCAGTGTTTGGCTATATAAAAATTGAAAACTTCTATACATCTATTTCTGCTTCATTGACTATGCCAAAACCTTTGACTGTGTGGATCACAATAAACTGGAAAATTCTGAAAGAGATGGGAATACCAGACCACCTGACCTGCCTCCTGAGAAATCTGTATGCAGGATATGGATGTGAGCATTGGACTGTGAAGAAAGCTGAGCACCGAAAAATTGATGCTTTTAAACTGTGGTGTTGGAGAAGACTTTTGAGAGTCCCTTGGACTGCAAGGAGATCCAACCAGTCCATCCTGAAGGAGATCAGCGCTGAGTGTTCATTGGAAGGACTGATGTTGAAGCTGAAACTCCAATACTTTGGCCACCTCATGCGAAGAACTGACTCATTTGAAAAGACTCTGATGCTGGGAAAGATTGAAAGCAGAAGGAAAAGGGGACGACAGAGGGTGAGATGGCTGGATGGCATCACTGACTCAATGGACATGATTTTGGGTAAACTCTGGGAGTTGGTGATGGACATGGAGAAGGCAAATGAAGAAAAGGGAAAAACTTTTGCAACATTTAAATACAAACTAAGCAGCTTGGTATATAAACAGACTTTACAACCCAAAAGAAAATAATGAGCATTTGGCACATATAGGTAATTCACAAAAGACTTATAAATGAACTATAAAAAATGTTTGGCATTACTAATAAACAAATGCAAAGTGACTGATGTGAGAAACCTTTTTTTCTATACTGGATTGCTAAAAATATTTTTCACCTTCCCAACCTTTTAAAACTTTTTCCAGTTTTGAGATATAATGGACATACAGCACTATATACATTTAAGGTGTACAACATAGTAATTTCACTTAAATTGTGAAATGATTGCTACAGTAAGGTTAGTTAACATCCATCATCTCATGGATACAAATTTTTTTCCATGTGATGAACTCTTAGGATGTACTCTCAGAACCTGCATATGTAGCACACAGCACTGTTAACTATGGTGATCATGTTGTACATTACATTCCCAGTACTTACCTCATAATTGGAACTCTGTACCTTTTGACCCCTTTTCTGTAATTTCCCCTCCCCATACTCCCTACCTCTGGTAAACACAAATCAGTCAATGAGATCATACAGTATTTGTCATTCTCTGACTTATTTCATTTGGCGTAATGCCCTCAAGGTCCATCCATGTTACCACAAATGGCAGGATTTCTTTTCTATGGATGAGTAATAATCCATTATACTATATACAGACACACACCACAACTTTATCCATCCATCCATCAATGGACACTGAGGCTGTTTCCATGTCTTGGCTATTGTAAATATTGCTGCTATGAACCTGAGTTTTCATTTCCTTCAGATAAAACAGCTGACTCTTTTTTTTTTCATTTATTTTTATTAGTTGGAGGCTAATTACTTTACAATATTGTAGTGGTTTTTGTCATACATTGACATGAATTAGCCATGGATTTACATGTATNTGGAGTTACATGTATTCCCCATCCTGGTCCCCCCTCCCACCTCCCTCTCGACCCGATCCCTTTGGCTCTTCCCAGTGCACCAGGTCTGAGCACTTGTCTCATGCATCCAACCTGGGCTGGTGATCAGAACACCTGACTCCTGAACAGTATGAGGGGGTAGGGGTGCTGACCCTCTGTGAAGTAAAAAAAAAATCCATGTATAACATTATAGTTGGCCCTCTGTATCTGTGGTTCTACATTTGTGGATTCAACCAACTGTGGATCATGTAGTACTTTTGTATTTAATACTGAAAAAGCAATCCAAGTGTAAGTGGACCCATGTTGTTCAAGGGTCAACTGTATTCCCACAAGTGGAATTTTTGGATCATATTTTGAATTTTTTGAGGAACCTTCATAATGTTTCCATAGTGGCTATACCAGTTGACAGTCCCACCAACAGTGCACAAGGGATCCCTTTTCTCTACATACTTCAGAGCATTTGTTACTTTTTGTCTTTTTAATGCCAACCACTAGCATCACTGACTCAATGGACATGAGTTTGAGCAAACTCTGGGAGATGTTGAACGACAAGGAAGCCTGGTGTGCTGCAGTCCAGGGGGTTGCAAAGAGTCGGACACAACTTAGGGACTGAACAACAAGTCTAACAGGCATGAGGTAATCTCTCTTTTTGGTTTCAACTTGCATTTCCCTATTGATTTAGTGATGTTGAACATGTTTTCATGTACTTGTTCACCATTTGTATATCTTTTTTGGAAAAATATTTATTCAGGTCCTTTGCCCATATTTAAACTGGATTACTTGGTTTTTCGCTACTCAATTGTATGAGTTCTTTATATATTTTAGATGTTAACACCTTATCAGATATATGGTTTGCAAACTTTTTTCCCTTTCTGTAGGCTGTCTTTTAAATTTGTAGATGGTTTCTTTGGCCATGCAGAAGCTTTTTAGTTTGATGTAGTCTCATTTATTTTGTTGCTTGTGTTTTAGGTGTCCAACCCGAAAATCATTGCTAAGACTCATGTCAAGGAGTTTTTCTCTGATATTTTCTACTGGGAATTTTATGGATTATGATCTTACATTAAAATCTTTCATCTATTTCAAGTTAATTTTTGTGGAGCTATAAGATAGAGGTCTATTTTCATTCTTTTACCTGTGACTATCTGATTTTCCAGCACCGTTTATTGAAGATAATTGTCTTTTCTCTATTAAGTATTTTTGGCTCCCTTGCATGGGTTTACTTCTGGGCTCTCAATTCTGTTTTGTTGGCCTATGTGTCTGTTTCTATGCCACTACCATACT